GATCAGTACCTGTCCAACCAAGCGATAATAAAAAGGCCTTCAGGTTATCAGAACAGTTGCTGATTCCGGCAAATTGGTGGAAGTGTGCTAACTGGCATCTTGCAGTTTACACCTCCAGATGCCATGCAAGTTGTTACGGGGGTGGCGTGTTGGACCGTCCGAAACCTCGGTTCCGCCTTGGTCCTTACGACGAGAACCACGCTGCTTGTTCACGAATACGCGTAAAATGAGAAATAAGTCCGATGAATTGGAAGGGGTCGGCAAGGTAGCGGTTCCGGACTGCTTCAAGGTCCGTCCTATCATTCGCCAGTGCCCCGCGCAAGGTTTGAACCGGGTAGACCACCGTAGCTGCATGAACGTCACATACTGGGATGCAGTCCTGAAGTGACGTCACGATGCGCTTGTTAGCAACGTTCCGCTCCTGAATGTAGGTCAGTTGTGAGAGGGAACACGACGACTGGCGCTCGCCTTTGTGCCGCTGTTGCACTACAGCAGGACGGGGGGAGCCGTAGGAGTGGTGATAAGATCGACGGGGTGAAATGGGCGGACCATGTAGCACGCATCGAGGAGAATGGTAAATGCGTAAAGAATGTTAATGTGTGAGTCTGAAGGGACGAGTAGCTGCTTTCGGTACCACGGCCTATATGTCAGGGTAATATTAAAGTGTGGTCTGAATACGGAGTCGTGTAAACACGGTGGAATGTTTTGATCAGCTGAGGGACTGTCAGCTTCTCAAGAGTCAGGAGGCGCGACAACTGGTAGGCTACCTCAGGGGTTCAGGAAGACGCAGCTTTCTGCCTTGCGGGTTAAAATGACCTCAGCTGCGTCACGGGGAAGCTGATAATTTCTCAGCGGTTCGGACAGTTCGTTTGCCCCTTCACCCGTGTCGCTGTTCCAAAACAACAGGGCGAATAACCCGGTCACTGGGTCACTTTTAGCGCCGCAGAACTATCGTGACGTCGGAACGTCGTGTTATCTAATGTATGGCATGCCGAGCGACCGCTGTGTTTATTTATTTATTGCAGCAATGCGCGAACAGTGTTCCGTGCAGCTCTGCTGAATTTGTCAGACGGTGCCGTCGACCAGAAGAGACACCTCACAAAATCTCGCGTGTCGAAAAGCATCCGTTACCAGCGTTTCGGTGTGTCTGCCCCAATGAACTCCCTGGTCGTGAATTATTACAAAAGAAATTCACTTTTGCGTGCCGCAAAGAACCCGTTTCCACTTCAGCTGGGTCTGAAGCCAAAAGGGTCCGGCGACTTGTGTGTGGCTTCTTAGTTACGTTGTCACACCAACTGATCGAGTTTACGAAACCGGATACGCGCCCGGTTTTAAGTTTCGGTCGTTTCGACGGGGGACGTCGCAACTGTGGCTGTGGAGGCCCTCCGAAACGACGAGTGCCCACGCTCGTTTTGAATCTCTCTTCTGCATTCATTTGCCGTTGATTTGGAGCATCTGGGTGAAAAAGGATCAAGCCTGAAGCTAGAATCGTGTAGCGCTCGTCTTCAAGAAAGGGGTTAACCCGAGAGCTGCGAGCTCTGGGGTGGACGGGCGAAGTCCATAAAAAGCGGGGACCGTTTTTTGTCGCGCTTGAATATTTAATCGTCGTGAAGCCAGGTATTTTTAAAATCCACCTAAAGGGATTTAATGCAGGTACAGGGGACCGAATTAATGTGCAGTTGTCCTTGAACCTCCCGTCAGGTCACACTGTAAAAAACGCTGCTTCGCTTTTGTCTCCTGCACAGGGCTCTTGGCCTTAACAAAGAATATCACTTGACTGCTCGTTTCGTGTGGGTACGAAACTTGGTCTGCGTCTTCAAGGGAGCGATACGGATCGATAGCGTTCGAGAACAAGTCACTAAGGGGAATGTATCGGGGATATTGCCACCTTCAGCCCTGAAGATGGAGCCCCACGAAGTACAGCGGCCGCAGCGTGAAGCTCCATGTGGTGCTGCGATTCGTGAGATAAGAAGAGGTTTTTGGGTCCCTTGAGGGTAGACAGCGCTCGAGATGTTTGCAGCGGTTCTTGTTAATGCGCCCAGCTTGGGGCTTGCGACGCCGCAAGACGCTCCGTAAAATAAAATTAACTTCAAGGAGTGGAGTGCTCCGCGACGAGACGACGCTGTCTCAGACGGTGAAGAAAATCCCTAGATTCCTGGAACCTGAAGGTTCGTCGTGGCCTCTTCCCGACCCCACGACTTGGCCGTGTCCTGAGGCAGTTGGACACTGCGAGGTCTGTTGTAGTAATATCCTCCGAAGTGATTTCTTTCCTTCGAGTTTTCTGGATAATGTTTTGTGTCCCGGCGTCTCGTCTTCCTTGCAGACAGTGAAGCCGCTCCCGGAACTACAACCGGATGTATCTCTGTTGCAGATCCGAAGCTGCGTCACGGTCCGAAGGGGCAGGACGTGCAGTTCTTCCGGTTCTCCGAGAAGGTGATGCGGAACAAGGTCCTGAAGGCGCAGCTGTGGATGTACCTAAGGGGCACGCACTACCAGCACGGCTCGAGACGCGGTCACGAGGATCAGGCCGACGCGCCTGCGCCAGAATCACCCGGCGGCGGCTACGACGGGGGAGGTGGAGGGGGGAACGACGGCGGGTGGTCCGGCCTCATGGTAATTGACGCGGAAAGTGGAAGATTCCCGTTTTAAGTTATGGAATCTAATTGTCAAAAGCTTCCGGTTGGCCAGGAAGTGACGCTCGTCTAGCGCTCCAGCCGTTCAGCTGTCAATATGACGTAATCTGTTATCTTTGTAACACTGTTTGTTTGTTAACGTGTCGGTGGTTGATGTAGGCCAAAGTACGTATCAGCCTGTATCGGGGATGAACGAGCATTTGAATGTGCTGCTGTTTCTTTACCACGTAGTGACGCTTATCCGTCAAGTTGGTGGGCCTGAAACCGGAAGTTCCTTGCTTTGCAGGTGAACATCAGCGTGATGAAGGTACTGCGTGGCGGCAGCTCGTCGCTGGAGTCCCCGGTCATGAAGATAGAAGCCAAGTCCTTGGTGCGACGGCCGTCGGGGCGCGGTGGCTGGGTGTCTGTGAATGTGGAGGACCTGCTCAGCAAGTGGTTTGAGAACCCGAAGGACAACCACGGCGTAGTGCTGCACGCGGTAGACGACCACGATCGACAGATCGTGGTGACGGACCACGCGGAGGAGGACGGCGCCCTGGTGAGTCTGTGGCAGGCAGGCGACAGACAGACGCGTGAAAACTGTCTCTGGGCTCGTAGCAACTCAATGGGCGATTTGTCGCGTTGGTTAAAACACGTGCGATGCTGACGACGGCACGTTCCCGCGTGTTCGACGTCTGGCAGCAAATGGGGATAAACGTGGGCCTACTTGGAAAACCGAATCGTAACATTTAGACGTCAAGACGCGGAGGTAATGCTACAGCCATTCTCGACGTGGGCAAGTTGTCGGATTCAACGAACTGACAAACATTTGTGCAGGTGAGGAGGGAGATTACCGCACAAAAGCGATGGCAGCGCGACACGTGGGTTGGGCGAGACTCACGTACCGGAAATAGGCTACATGGTTTTCCTCAGACATTCCGGGCGAATTCTAGGTTAGAGCCACGCTCCTTGAGATTGGTCTTGCCGCCGCGCGAACGAACAGCTGATTCGGCGTCGTCGTGAAGGGACAGGTGTCGCGTTTTGGCAGCGGAGATAAATCGATGTTTGTTTATGCTGGTGAAGTTAGGAAACTGTGTGTTTGTGTTCGTGTCCGCTGCTATCTGCAGTTGTGGCGTGGCGCACGTGGCGGCCATTATGTTGATAACGCGGGTCAAAGGGCAGTGTCGCTGGTACAGTCGCCCCATCAACGAGCGCCACTCGAAAACCGATTCGGCCGACGTCGGACACCTGTCGCCACCGGAAACGCTGGAGGAGGAGATGCCCGTCTTCTGCGATGTTGGGCCGCGCGGTCGGGAAGAAATTTCGCCGACGTTTCAGGCGATGGTGATGTCAGTAAACTTGCACTGACTCCAGAAGACGGGCATGTTCACCGAATGCGAAATGTCAGCTGTGTCGTGTTTGTGGAAGGAAACTCTTCGAACTTGTCGGGGAGCGTGCGTCAGCTGTTTCGACATCACTACACGCGTAGTTCTTGCGCATCTGATACCAGTAGCCGCACTTGTTGGGGTTCGCCAAGTTCATTAACGTCTTGAGATGGGCGGGGTATGTAGCACGTGTAACATTTCGACAGGAAAAGATAAATGTGGAGCTTGACGTTTTAAGCCGTGAGGGTACTGACTGGATTCAGCTGGCTTGCGGCAGGGTCCAGCGGAGTGCACTTCTGAACACGGCGTTGAACTTTCGAGTTCCATAAAACACTCTGAACTTGTTGATCTCCTAAGCCACTATCAGATGTTCCGTAGAGGTAGAGACTTGGGCAGTTCGCTTCTGTGCGGCCAGCCCATCTATTCTGGCCACGTCATTGCAGTTGATGCTGCGTGAACGCTCTTTAAAAGTTTCCGTTCTGCGCAGGTGCCATTCGTCGAACTGTACACAGCGGACGGACGGAAACACAGGACGAAGCGCACCATCGGGCTGAACTGCGACGAAACGTCGGAGGAGACTCGGTGCTGCCGCTATCCTCTGACTGTGGACTTCGAGGAGTTCGGGTGGGACTGGATCATCGCCCCGAAGAAGTACGAGGCCAACTACTGCTCGGGGGAGTGTCCGTACGTGTTCTTGCAGAAGTACCCGCACACCCACATCGTGGCGCTGGCCAACCCCTCGGGCACTGCCGGGCCCTGCTGCGCCCCCCGCAAGATGTCGCCGATATCAATGCTGTACTTCGACAACGAGTACAACATCATCTACGGCCTGCTGCCCGGGATGGTCGTGGACAGATGCGGCTGCTCGTAGTGCCCAAGGCCGGCCGGCCGGCAGGCAGGCAGGCAGGCAGGCAGGCAAACTCCCTCCGTCCGTGATACCGCTGTATCTTGCTAATGATGATATACGTAATAAATAATTTATGTCTTCTGCGGACTTGGTCTGTCGTCTCATTCGGCCAGGCGGACCGCAACTGTGCCTTTATCGCTCGAAACGTTTGCACTTATCAGCCATTCAGAGTAACTACAAAGGAAGGAAGAAGGCGTAAAGGCGAAACTGAGTATTGTGATATTATTTTAGTAAAAACTTTGATTTAAAATAATGTGTGAGTGGGTCCCGTATTCAAGCATTGAGAATCCCAACTGCGGGTATGACGGTAAGTGTCAAGGTTTAATTTAATCGTGCAACAAAATCGGGCACCTTGCTTGCAATCGCTGGGAAGCGTCCTCTCTCTGCATCCGTCCACTCTGAGCTCTTGAAAGCAGAAGCGCCTCTCTCTCTCTCTCTGAGCGAGGGCGGCAAGGCCGCGGACGCCGAGGGCTTGCAGATTCCCGCGGGGTTGTCGGCGGCGTCGGTGCTGCACGTGTCATGTGTCCGTCCGGGGCGCGCTCCAGGGTCGCATTTCGCTCCCCCACTTTGAGGCGGATCAAAGCGACGCCAGAGGCTGACGCCGGCGCCACGAAGCGCGTTGTTCTTTGTGCAGTGGCTTCCGTTCTTCCTAACACAGAATTTCGGAGTACTTCCGGGTGCTTCCGGAATGTAATCACGTGGTTTTATCATCGTCCTTTTGGATTCCCGGTCATGTTTTGGCTGCGTTTGGAGTGTAGCTGTGCAGTTTTCAAATTCTCGCGACGACTGTGTGGGACGTTGCGCTGCGCGGTGTAGTCTGCTACAAATTCACTGACGATTCGTAGGTGCATACTGCCTTCATCATCAGGGCGACTATTCGCGATGGTCTCCATATTCATGACTTAATTCGTGAAGATGGAGGCAAGATTTTCCTCCGAAAGCTCGTATCTACTGCGAGTCAACACGGTGTCTCAGCTCAGACCAACGTCGAAATTATCCGCAAATCGCAGACGTCGAGAGGCGTTCTTCTGTCAGCTGCTTGCTTTCAAGGGCTCGGTGCCTTGGCACAGGCATCGGCGACCACGGTTTGTGTTCCCTCCCCGCGACTACGAACAAGAAGCCAAGGCGTCAGCAACTTCACTCTCTCCCTCTCTCTCTGCGTTAGTTTCTCCCTTTCAAATACGATCTCTAGCGACTGATTTTGGTGACGGGGTTAGTTTAACGTGCAGAGCGCATTGCTGTTTTACGTTTTGTAGTTATGATAAGACAATTTGTTCCTTTCAAGTAGCTGTATGACATAATTTAAATGGAAAGAAGTGTACTAGGTCGCTGTCCGTTTACACAATTCATCACACCCTTCCCGCCACTGTGCAAACAGCAGGTCACACAATAATAATTATAATTATAATAATAATAATAATAACAGTATATCCGTCCTGGAACTGGTTGTCAGTTTGTAGTTGTAAATGTTCAAAGAACATCTTCGTCTCACGAGTGCGTGTGGCGTCGAGACGGCATTTGGCTTGCTGTGAATCTGACGTCACGGCCTTTTGGTATGTAAAGATTGATACATCGCTTTGTGTTGCGTGTTGTCTGTCTCTCATTGTAGGTATTAATTAATTAATTAATTATTGTGATTACTTTGCGTTGTGTGTTGCAACAAAAACCAAATTGTTTCATGTATCAGTTAAGTACGGAATGGTGATATCTTTTTGTAAGAAAAGTGGTAAAAGGGTGAAAGTATTTTTTACAATTTGTTGTAAGCCATTTTTAAAATATAAATGCATTAAAATAAACTTCGTGTGTACCTGAGCGCAACCAAACACACAATGATAATATCCTAAAAGCTTCAGCGCCGATTGACGGATTTCTACCAAATCAGCCTCTTCATGCACAAGAAGCTGTCTCTGTCTTACCTCTTCCTTCGCCTTTCTTTTGGTCCTCCATCGCCTCACCTTGCCCCTCCTCCGAAGACAGGGGCGTCACGACGCGCCACGACGTCTATCACAAAGTACCGACGTCGCTTCCTGAAAACTATGGAGAAAATTCTCGACAGTCTGATTGTCGCTCAGTCGTACAAGAAATTCCCTCCGTGTTATGCAACGGGAAGGTTCATTACCGTGCTTACCGAAGCCCCTCACCCACCCCCTTGTATCCATCCTACCCAGACCTCGTTGAATCCAGTTCACATCATTTCACCCTGTTTTCTTCAGGTGCATCTCAGTATTGTCCATACTCCCGTCTTCAAAATGGCTCTCCTCTTCAGGATGCTGGATTAACATTTTGTGTGGATACAAGAATCTCTTGTCCGCAATGCCTGTTACATATCCAGCCCATCTCATCATAATCATAAGCTTATTGGTGAAGAGTTCAAATGACGAAGCTCCAAATTATCTGATTTCCTCCATTGTCCCTCTTATCAGGTCAAAATATTCCCCTTACGACCCTGTACTTAAAACAGCTTCAATCTGCGATGTCTCCATAATTTGAGCGACCAAGTTTCGCACCCATACAAAATAACGGGTGAGCTTGAACGTGGTAGAACTGGATCCTCCGATTATGGCCGCTGACCTTGTAGGGAGAGCCCAGTATGCGGACCACTCAATAAAGGAAGGAAGGAAGGAAGGAGTTTCCGTCGGTCAGTACAGTCTGTGTCAGTGCAGCAGTGTGGAAGCCTGATAATTGTTGTCTTGTGACTGTGCTGTGTTAACAACATGCCACCTGTTCGTTGGAATCTCCTTTCTGGTCATTGATAACGCCTCGAATCACAACACCTAGACAGACAAACCACCGACGTCTTAATCAAAGAAAGACGGAGTGAAAGCCTGGCTATTGGAAATCTTCGTCGTATTTTGTGGCAATGGGTTGAAAGCTCAACTGCACGATTTAATCAAATTAAATAAGTCAAAGCACAAATATTACGTGATTGATCATATTTTGGCAGACAAAGAACGTCCTGTGCTGAGACTTCCGCCGTACAATCCCGATTTAAACCCCATTGAACTTATTTGGGCAGATTTAAAACAAAGAGTTGCAAGCTAGAACACGACATTTAAAATTAAGGACGTCGAGCGTCTGTGTCGCCAGAGATTCGAAGAAATTGGGCAAGAGGAATGGAATAAATTATGTCAGCATGTGAAAAACTAGAACAAATTTACTATGAGCAAGAAGGCGTGATCGAAGACGCTACTGAACGTAATATAATTGAGGATAATGGATTGGACAGCAGCGGCGGTGGTGATGAATCGAGTGAATGTCAGAAGGCGAATGTCTGTGAGGACCGAAGACTTGCGAAGAAGATGAAATTATCAAATATTCTCTGCATTGTTAATTTTCTAGTGATGTGTATTGTAGTGAATTCGTCTTTCCTGCGTTACATACCGTGGTGATATTTTATTTGGAACGTACTGTACGCGGCTTGCTGTCATCCATTTCAGCAAACTTCTGGGCCGACCATGATTGTTGGACGCGCTGTGCTGAAGCCGAAGTTCCTATCTGTTAAGGAAAGGAAGGCCTTAGCGCTCTTTTCATAGCCCTTTAAGTCAGTGTTAATTTCGATAAAGCGACGGTCGCATTCTCTTGTCATGTAGGAGGAACTCGGTGTAGCTTTGCCGTTAAAGGCGGGGGTGTCGCCTGCAGTCCGGCCCTGCTCTGGGGATGACGTCCTACTGCTACAGGCTCGCCACAAGACGTCACCTGCGAAATTCCCGCTTCATTGCTCGGCCCGGAGACACAAGGGCACGAACCCTGTCATAATTTCCAACCTTAAGGGACAGAACTGTAGCCCGTGAACACGGGATTTACACCCAAGAGAACTCTCCACTTCGGTATTAGAAATGTAGAAATTTGCACTGATTTTGGGAAACGTTTTCTACTCTAATTCTGAGAAACAAACGAATAATAACAAATTGCCTCTGCGTACGAAATGCAGAGTTACGGATTTAGAAAAAGGTGGTATACATAGTTACCACTGACCTGCACTTTGACTACTCAAAGAAATAAAACTAACCATCTTTACCCGTAGATCACAACCATTTTATAAACGAGACTGTGGCGACCGAGCCAAGGCGGACGAAGAGTTTAGTTCTCGTCACTGGCTGACGAATGCGACGGTCTCCATTTGACGTGGAAGAGGACGGACATCGCAAGGTAACGGCTAATGAGTGGGTTAGCCGTGGCCTCTGAGGGTAAGAGAAATCGTTAAGCAATCATAAAAATATACGGATCGAAGTTGCGATAAGAATGAACATTCCGTAGAGGAGAATGTTTCAGGTTACAACATGACGGGTCGTCGTCGTCAGAGGAGATGTCGCGGCGGTGAAGCTGGATGCACAAACCCCGCGGCATATGCTCGGGAGCACGACGAACGCAGATGAGGAAGCTGCAAATGAAGGTGATCTTACTACGCAAAGCCGGCTTCAATGGCAAGTGACTTCTTCGTGCACCAGGTGGCAATGCTTCGGGTTTGCCTCGACAATCACCTGCCACCGCCCCTCGCGGTGAGCGAAAATGACCCTGACCATGAAGCACGTAATCGCCCTCGGAGGCCAAAGGACAGTGTTAGATCCACTATCAGAGTCCTTCTTGACAAGCTGATAGTCGCGCAGATGGAGTACACGTTCCTCGCCTTTCATGAGATCCGAAGGCGCCGATGGACGTTCTCTTCTGAGCCAGCTGAATCCGATCTACGCCCTACTTGCCTACGATCCGTTTCAATGGGGGAAAAGGAAAACTTTGTATCCAAAATGGCGTTTTCTGTCTGTGCGACTAAAATTTTATACGCATTTCTCGTCTCTTGCATGCGCGCTAACGTCGGCTTCCCTCCCGTCACCCGCCATTGGTTTAATGACCCTATCGATGTTTGTTTATGCGAAACGTGTGGTCGCGTTTCCTCCTGCGGATTGCGCAATTTGTATTCCCGTTCCCAGTGACTGACGTAAACATCGGCGCCATTTCCACAGCGTCCGTCCGTTGCAGTGAAATTTCTGTAGCGCGTTCCAGCAACCAAGAAAGGAACCTTTTGAGTACATGAGACTGACGCTTGGCTCACGCCAATGTGTTCTTTAGAAATTAATTTGTAGGTCTAGTCTGTGGACGTGGCGAGGAAGGAAAATATTTTAGATCTGATGAAATGTGCTGGAAAGTTGGTTCAATGTGACACGCGTGAGCTGGCCGCGTGCTTGTGCGATTCCCAGAAGGCAGGCTGTAGACTGCGACATGGACTGGACATGTAGCACGTACGGTGGACGGTATCGTAAAACGCGAGTGGACGAGACCTAGGTAATGCGAGGAAAGCGGGTTGTGTGTGTGTGTGTGTGTTTCTTGTGGTCCAGTGGCGAGCCATTGACTGGTGAGTGACCACCGCCAGCTGCTTGCAGCTGCGCACCGTTTGACTAGACGTGTAATCGAAAGGTGTGGTCCATCGCAAGTTGTAATCGGTCGTCTAGACTGACCACTCATCCTTGAACGGAAATCAGCGGGTGTTACAGGGACCTACTTGGACATTATCCAGTGTGACTGGCGAGTCTGTCTCATTTCCTCTAATTATTGCTACGTACACGCAACCGATTTGTGATTTTGTCTTCGCCCGCAATCGGAAATCGCGGACGGAGCTGCACTTTTCCAGACTTCGGGGACGACCGAGTAGAGGAGCTGGGATGGGCGGGGCACAAAGCACGAATTGGAGCGCCCGACAGTGACGCATATTGATTTGAAGACTGAAAGAGAAAGTGTCCACTTTGTGGACGGAAGGGCAACTAGCAGCCGGAAGAAACAGACTGGGTTATGACAGCTCGGGCTGGATTCACCTGGGTCAGGATAGGGTCCAGTGGCAGTCTCTTGTGAGCTCGGTGATGAACCTCCAAATTGCGTACAAGGCGGATGACTTCCTGCTATTGTCAGCTCTTCAAGAAGGATTCATGCTTTCTAGGAAGTGTTGAAAGTAGTTTAGGTCGAAAGTGATTGGCGCGTTGCATGTTGCAGCTGCAAAGGCGGAGGGCCTTTCGCCTATTTTAGGAACCTAACCCTTCCTCAAACAGCGCGGTCCACGGATTTCTCAAACTGCGTCGGAATTCGAACAGTGGTTAGGGAGGCGAAACGTACGTAGGACACTCCTTCAGTTTATGCATTTGTCTGTCCAGCAGGTGTTGCAGCCAACTGCACGGAGCAGACGCCATATTCATAAGCTTATAGTTGCTCAGTTGCTCAGTATATTCCCCATCTTTTATAAAGTTACAAGGCTTGGACTACTCAGCTCAGGGGCCAGTGGCGGGTTCTTGCGGACGCGAAATGAACCTTCGGTTCCCATGATCCATCTTAATGTTATCCTCCCATTTACATCTAGGTTTCCGATCTTCGCATCTCTCTGTCCCCTAAGTGCTACACGCCCGCTCAATCCTCGCGCTTTCGTTAGCTGCGTGAAGCCACGCGTCGTGTTCGAAAACGAGGTTGTTCACGGGGAGAAAACGTGGTGTTGTTGAAAGACGCTGTATCAACTGCATCGCCGAGTGACCCGCACCGTAGACAGCAAGTCAACGACTCCATCTGTCGGCAGACCTGACACACATCGCATAACCTTGGCCGCCAGACGGGTCAATTGCGCTAATCATGGACATTAAATGCACTGCTCATGTCTTCTGTCTTTATTAAATGACGCTTCGTCAACTGCATGGCGTGTAGAGTGTCGAATGGCAATATAATTGCCACTGTTGTACCGCGTTGATTTTTAACGCGTTCAACCGCGTTCTATCAACTGCGCAGGTTTTATAATTTCGAGCGGTACAGTGGTCTGAAAGAAAGCTGACGTGG